ATGCCTCATCAATGTCTACATTCAATTCCATTTGTTTCAAGAGATAAAATGTAAACCTTTCGATAAAGTATAAGCTATAAAATGCAATTACCTCGTTTTCTACCGTTTTTACCTTCGATTGTGAAAGGGAAACGGATCTAATGTTACTTTGTCAATAGCATGCAACTTCCAGCTTTGTCGTATTCCGATTTTCACGCCATCCAATGCCATGCCTTGTTTATTAACCCTATTTACGGTTTATGCGCGCGCACCGATCAACTTCAAGGACTGGAAACTAACTGGCACGGTTAAGAGCTCCGTGACAAAAGTGTGACAAAGCTGCATCTTATCTACTAGCCAAAAACTGAATAAGCGTTTCTCGAGCTTATTAAGCGAAGAAAATTAACTATTAATAAAAAAGAATTAAGAAAACACTCGGAAGTCAACCTAAAATGCTGTGGTCAATCACCATTTCGCAACGAAATTTTGCCGGCCAATTTCCCTCACCTCCGAAAGACATTGATTTTATTGAAGAGTTGTCGAAATTTGTGATTTTTTCCCTATATAACAAAACACTTAACGTACTCTCCCCCAGGAAATAGTGAGCCTAGTTTCCCGAGAGTCCCAATATAGGTTTGGTATAGTGGACAAATGTGAAAATTATTTAAGACACTATATATAGATCAACACACATATATTGTAACAATTTTGTAGAAAACATATTTATACAACGATTATTTCCTACATTAACATACTAATATAATAAAACTATGTTGAAAAACAAAGTTTAACAAAACTCTGCGCAAAAAGAAAGTTTCTCTCTAAATAATTTTTCATAAGTGCTAAATGAATGAATCCCAACCAGTCTTTAAAATGGCAACTGCAATTGTTCTGTTTTGATAAAATGTGGGTATTTTTTAATTTCCTTTACAAGATGACGGTTACCAACAAATAATGTTGCTGAGTGTGAGTGAAAGTTATACAACTATTGAATGCTAATTTAAAAAATTGGTATTTTCGAATTCAAGATACGACACCTCCTTTTCTAAAGCACGAGTGATATTCACATGGCAGTTGGCAAATTACTATTAGTCTAAAAAATGCTGTTAAGTTATTTTTGGGGTTCATTTATATAGCATTTAAAAGTATACAGTAATGAAAAGTTTGCATACAGTCAAGCTACTCGTAAACGGACATCATTGAGACCACGACCTAATGTCTGCTTACGGTAGATGTCCGTTTATGGGTTGATATTAATTATACGTAGATATGTATACACAACAATATGAAATACTTAGTTTAGATGTCCGTTTATGGGATGTTATGAAAGATATCTATTCACTATGCGTAGATATGTAAACAACAATATGTAATAAACTTAATGATCTAAAATTGTTCACTACATAAAAATAAAACGCAGTGGATTTAGAAATATGACATCTTAAAAAAAAAACGTTGAAATTTTTCCAAATTTTTCATTCTCATAACTTGATGTAGTTCTTACATGTCAAAGTTACTTTTGTTATGAATGATTTGCTGACCATTTATACGAACTAAACTGATCACTTTCATTCTACAACCATCCATAGTTGATGTTTGCTTTGAATTTTCATAACATGTTGCTGTTAAGATCTTGTTTGTATTAAGAAGCAGCTTCAATTTTAGATGCAGCAAAAAACCCTTTAGCCATCTCCAATAGCCACAATGTAATAAAAACACAAACTTTTTATTCACTCTCATGATTACTTCTGCGTTATGTTCACATCAAAACGTCCACATGAGATGATAATTTTCACGCTTCAGTTTTACAAAAAGTGAACAAAGTGAACATCCAGCTTTAACATTTTAAAAATGTAAAAGTTCATATCTTCCACTTTTGACAACAGATGACATTTCAATGAACACGTGACCTGGGTGACGTTACAATGTACAATAATAAATCCACAGAGAACCATGGTACATAAATTTATCATTACTTTCATTACGTCACTTTCTGAAATAAAGCTTCTCCTTCTTGTATTATCGTTTGAATTAAGAGTAGAAGATCAAATTTTATAGACAAGCCATAAACATATCAAACTTTGGCAAAGTAACTTGCAGTATGTCCACTGATAAATGAGTTGATGTTGTTAAAAAAGAATTCCCATAAAGTATCGATTTATAAAGTAAAAGTGTTCAAACTTTAACAATGCTTGATATCGATTTTTCAGTAAAAATTAAAAACTTGTCATTAAACATCTTTCCATATGCAACATTGTCGTTTGTAATCTGTCTCTCTATATTGCAAAACTTTCTTTGACGTTCGTTAACTTTTCTTGTTCATACGGTTTGGAATGCTCAGTCACATTGGTTAAATTGTTTATCACGATGATGAATGTCAATCATAAAGTCATTTTCTTATAGAGCTTACAATTTACTTTTTAACAATCAGTAAGAAAGACAGCCAAATTTTTAGTTTTTCTTGAAAAAATTAGCAAAGGTACCATTGTTTTATTATAAATTTACGTTTTTCAAATTAATAAAAAAGATAATATTCATATAACCGAAATAACAATTAAGCTGTCTTTGTCTCTCTTAACAACTTAACACATAGATATTTTGTATATCAAAATGCAATACTTAAAAAGTATTAAGAAATTATTTCAGTGCAAGATAGTATTGATTTAATTAGTAACAGCTTGTTTTTGGTGTAAAAGAGTATCGAAAAACGTGCAATATTAAAACCATTTTTCACTGAATACATTTGCATGAAAATTATATGTTTACATGGTGTAGATATAAACAAAATATAACCTATGGTACAATAACTAACAAAAGTTTGCATTTTATATGTTTGTGTGATAAGATAGTTTGTGTGAAAGTCAATAAAATTATTTTCTTGTACAAGGAAAATTATTATCTTAGACACGAAATCAATTGTGTTTATGGTTTTTCTTTATTGTCATTGAATTTTCCTCTTTTGTTGATTAACTTCAGCTTTTATACATGATCTCTCTCAATGTTGATATTATCGCACACTGCGGTCTCTGTACAGAACAATAATAATTAGACAAAGGTCGTTTCATGAAATCATACGCAAACAGACATTTATTGAAATGTCAACAATGATAGGGATCATGAAAAAACCGAACAAGATTTTCTTAAAGATAATATAGTCATTATCCAAAATGGTGAGAAATTTTATCATCAAAGATCAAATTTATTCTCGTGGCAAGATAATTTTTACGCATTGTACCGGGACCTTTAAGGAAGAAAAAATTAAAGCAAGTTTGCGTTTACGACAGTAATGTAAAGTTTTTGAAAATATACTCTTAAATGCAAAAAATGAGCCTACAATTTTAAAATATTTCAAATCAATCAAATCTGAGTAATCTAACATAAGACTAATTATATACCTATCATCAACAAAGAAATACTTTGACTCAAAAAAATACTCAGTATCACTATAAATAATTTGTATGTTTTTAACGTCAAATACTTTCACATACTCACGCATGTCACGTATTAATAATTTATCTGCTGAAGGTGAAAAAGCAGCGTAAGTTATACAACGCGTGTACTTTCCAACATCTTTGTCGGTGATGAAATTGGCGATTTCCTCCTTTATTACGTCATCCCAACCATTAACAAGTTTGTCTTCATGCCACATACAGTAAATTATCCGATCCTTAAATTCAACTTTAGCAAACACGTGATACTTAGAGCTACATGCAAATACGTGCACATTTCGATAATTTTCAAATTTCACTGATATTTCTTTTCGCTTGTTTTCAACATTGAAAAACACAAAAGAATCAGTTTTTTGACTAGCAAATGATACATCACTCACCTCAAAAACTTTGTTTGTACCTTTTAGTTCATCGAAACTATAAACAAGTTTTGTCAATTCATTATTCCAAAGCTCAGGAATATTTTTTGCCGTAAGCAAAATAACTCCATTTTCTACAGCAACCATGTCACTAATAAAACATTCCTTGACATCAAAGTCAAATGTGCTGAGATTGTATATAATTACCCTGGAATTTTCTTCATTGCTCCGATACAGAAATTTTCCATTTGAGCAAAATTTCTCGTTAAAAAAACTGTAACTGTTAGTTAAACATGCACGCGGTATTGAATAAAGATAAAACTCATCTTTGTAATCAAACAAAAGAACATTGTCGTCATTCAAAATAAAGTAATACGTTTTTTCTCCATAAAAGAAAAAGCTAGATCTGTTGTCATCAAAAGGATCAAGAGGAAAAAACGAAGTTAGGGCAAAAGGTTTTAAGTCAGGAAGTTTCTCACCAGTGGGATTTAGAATGAAATGTTCATTCGTTAAACAAGGATGGCGACAACACCAAGAATGAAGACCAACAGTGAACAAAATATAAGAATCAATATACCTTGCACAAGGTAAATGATCGTCGTAAACGATTGTTTCATAATTATTCGCTACATCAAATATTTGAGCCACTTTTCTTTCATCAATAACACACAAATATCTTCCAGAATTAGAAAAACACAGTGAGGTCACATTATGACATCTAATACTGCGTTTCTTCTCACCTTTCTCAACGTCCCATACTGTCAAAGTATCTTTGTAACTAGTGACCATTGTGTACTTATCCTTAGAAAAACATTTGTTGGTAAAGAACTTAGAAGTAGAATCATCACAATAGAACGGACTGCAGGAAATTTTACCATTAATGTCTAGTATCTTATCAAGCTGGGAAGCAGAAATGAAATCAATGAATGGATTAAAGACAACGCAAAAGTTTTTCTCTTCATATTGCTTAAACTGACCAGCAATATTTTTTATCCATAAACATCTGTTTGTCCTCAATGAAAAAAGTTGCACGATGAATCCTTCATAACCACAGACGACGTAATCATGATTTCGTGAAACATCAACTGAGATCAAATTTTGTTCTAAACGTAATAATCGAGCCTTAAAAAAACCCGTGTCTCTGTACTCCAGATATGGTGAATCTTTGAAACGTGTTTGAAGCATTGTGGTAGCTTGAGACGACAGATCTTTGACTTCGTTGGCAACGCATTGCAAAAACAATACTTTACTTTCATAGAGAAAAGAGTACTTAGAGTACGCAATTGCAGAATAAACTTCATTAAATAACAATCGAATGTCCTCAGAAATATAAAAGTACACATCATGTGCGTTGAATAATTTAAAATTTTCAAAAGTCCGACGAGAGTCAACTAAAATAGAAGCAACTAAAATTTCTAAGTCAACAAGATATTTACCAACATTTTTAACCATATAATCATTATCAGAAATATTAAGTAAATGAAGCAACCAATACTTGACAGAATATCTCACTGACGCATGTTTGATGACCTCATAGTTTACACCTTCAGCTTTGAGGTTATCCAAAGATTTTAAACAAAATTCTAAAACAAGTCGATGACCACAAGAAGTTTTTACTGAGTAATCATGTTCTCGATCATCCAACAACCAATCATTTAAGGATTTGTGAAAAAACGAAACACATCCTTCTCCATTGGTAACAAACAGACAAGAGATAATTTTTCTAACCGCAAGTGAGTCGCGATTCGAATTCAAACAAAGAACGTCATCGATCATTTTCCAAGGAAGAGGTTCTTTAGCAACAGCCAGAGCATTTAAAATTGACTGAAACTTTTCGTTACTGATATCAAACGAATCTAATTCCTTACTTAATCTTGCTAAGCAAGTTTCGTAATATTCATTGAGATCTTTTGGTATGGACGCATTCAACAAATCCTGATTTTTGACTTCACTGCTAAGAAGTGATGCAAGCAACATAAGTCCGTCAGCTTTTTCTACCAAAATATTTTTAACATCAGGAAGGCTGTCAGTAGAGCCTATTCTTTCTTCAATCAATAATTTAATATCCTCTAAATTGCGATCATCGCTGCAATTAATGAACAGTGGAATTAATTTTTCGAACTTATTTAAAGCAACTTCGTTAGGTCTTGTTGTAACTACAAAGCGAAAACAAGGCGGAAGTTTGTGTAAGTGATTAGCAATCAAATTAGCAAGGTCATCTCTTTCTGGATAACCACATTCATCAAGAGCATCCAGCACCACTAGAATTCGCTTAGGAAACTCCGAAATTGTAACAAATAACTCAGTAAAAAGAAGGGAAAATAATCCTTCAACATTCATGTTATTCAAAGGCTCAGAGAGTTGACTTGAAAGTTTTTTCACAAGAAGTTGTTTGTAAGCAGGAAAATTACGACTAACTTGCAATGCTAAAGATTGAAGAAGCACATTGGCTTTATTGTAACGACTGTTGTTGTGTTGAAAGAAATGAACTGCAGTCAAATATTGTGGATAACGCTTACTTAAAGTAGCTGCAATTACAGATTTACCCATACCAGCAACAGCAGAAATAATAAATGCACGATTTTGAGAACTGTCGTCTTTGAACCAAGCTAAAAACTCATCAAAAACCCATTCTCGTGTTCCCTCTAAAAATTTTTCATAATGATGTTTAATTTCACTTTCAAAGTTACAACTTACAAGGTTATTTGTCAAAATATCTTCTACTGGACGTGAGTGAATTTGACGTTTTATTTCTTCCTGTTTGCTTTCAATCACACACAAACGATTCTGTACACTATCTTTTATCTGTTGTAAATCTTTCTCTACACCCTCCACTGTTTTCTTAATACCTCTCTGCTCAGTTTTAATATCAGTTAAATCGCTCTTTAATCTATTCCATTCCCTCAAAATTCTTTCACATTCTTCATTACCAAACATTTCATTTTTCAATCTATCTATTTCTTCCTGACGTATTCCTAAACGAACTAATGGTTCGCTTATTTCCGCCGCCCAATGATTTTCAAAGTCGTCAAAACTTACTGAAGTGTCAGGTAAGTGAGCAAAACGACCATTACGAAATAACCTGATACGGGTAATATCTGCTTCAGTTGAATGATCATTGGGGTCATTCACTGACGTCCATATTGGATCACGGGGTGGTTTTAAGCCACAAATATTACGCAGGAGAATACAAAGTAAAGTAACGTCAAACATATTTTCATTTGGTAATATTGGAGGAGGAGGATACAGTAGATCCCATTGATGTTGCTTTATTCGCTTATCTTTTAGCGACAAAAGCTTATGATAATTTTTATTGTCATTTAAAACATTAAATAAATCAGTACCTGACAGTTGTTTCTTCAGTGTTATTCTTAAAGCTTCTCCACCAACATCAACGATTAATCTCATCAACTTATAACCATTAGTTTTCTTGTTTCTGCTCAAGACAGACATAATGTTGCTCCCTGCAGAAAGAAAAGTAGGTGTAAGACTTCCATGGTACAAATTCATTGTGATTATAAAGGAAAACCTGCGGCCGGTTACAAGAAGGCAGAATAGTTTTATCCATTAGATGGAAAATTGTTTTGAACTATTACAAAATCTCTTAAATAGGAATAATATGTGATTTGAACTGAGTAATCATTGAAATAAAATATTGCTTCTAAGATTACAAAATTTCTTTCCTAAAAAATATAAACACCTTTTCTACAAGTTTGAAAATTTTACTATCCGACGAATAATGCTATCCAGGCTTCGTGCAACCGTCCCCAGATGTACAAGGTACGTAAAAATGGGTACGTGTGGGTAGCCCTGACCAGAGTTACAGTAAATGGAACAAACAGTAGTCAGTACTCAAACTGCTTAGTGTTGTATTTTTTATTAATATAAGTGAAGTCCCAAGGCCATTCCCAAGGTCAAGTCTCAAGGTCATTCCGTAATAATAACATGTGAAAAATAACAAAAATATTTTCATGTCAAAATGAAATCATTCTTTCCTTTGGCACTTCTCTTTGGTACAAAACGTTCTCTGTGCTCAATGTTTAATAAAAATGCCCAGTAATTATCATTATCTTTCCTTTTTATTGCTCTCCAACGCTAAGTGCATGTTATGTCTGCTGGTGTTCACGTGCTAATATCGTGCATAGGAAGCTTACACAAAAAAATATATTGCCATGTCCTTATAAATCTCATAAATTTCAATGATAGAACAATAAGTTCGTCGGCATTGTGAATTAAAACGATTTTTTTAAATGAACATTATATCTTATTTGTCTAACAATGGTGTGGTGAAAAGATATATCTAAACGGTTTATTGGGTTGTACGAATTTTTGCTTATTGATAGGACTATGTTGCCGATGATTCTGTTCCAATTTAAATTGTTATGTTTATTGTTAAAATGAGGAGGCATTGCACATGGTACATATATCATTGCTGATGTAGTTATTTTCCATAGGGCCATAATATATTTAAATTCTTCGTCATTTTTGACGATCTGTTAAATCCAAATCGTCGTCATTACTAGTTGAAATAAATATAAAAATATATCCTGTCTGCTTTACATTTTCCTAACCAAAAAACAGAACACAGAGTGAGAGATAAACAGCGTGATATAAGAATAAAATACTGAACAAAATACAAGCACGGAGTGCACAGTGTACCTATCAAGTTCCAAGCATTGACTATACTTGACAAAACAATACTATTCGTCATCTTTAGCATTTGCGACTATGAACGAGGACACAGCCGAAGATATCACGACGGACAGACAGACACTGCCTCACTCAGACACTTTTTCAGTACTGCCACCAAAAATTTATTTAGCAAACTAAAATCTGTCTATGATTTTACGCCTTTCTGAGATAAAATTTCAGAAATTTGATCAAATCAACAAGCTTTTATGGAATCTTAAAGTTGTGCATTTTTGGCTCAACGCTGTCGTTTTTTATAATACACTGCAAACTGGCACTAGAAGGTATTTTGACGTCATGCAATATAGTCAGCATTCGGGCATATTTAGCTTATATTAAACATATACGTTCTTTTACGCTGTTTAATTATAATATTCGAGAAAATTATGTCTTGCAAAGAAAGCGATAAATCAAAATCAGAATTGAGTGTTCAGTCAGATAATTCTGACAAAAACTTTATTCCGGGATACGTGACAGAAAACTCGGAAGCAATGAAACTTGAGCGATAATGATTCAGATTTTGACTCCAAAGCATGGATGGTCAGAAAGACATAAATTCTAATCTCATCTTTTTTAAGCCCTGGAAAATTAGCGTTCTTTTGATTCGGCGAACTACTAAACTGACGCTCCAAATCCTCTGGTTTTAATCGAGCCGAACAAAGTGTTCAAGCACTGGAAGGCTCAAATACGCACTTTGCTTTAAAACCCAGATATTCCGTCTTCGCTTGGCCTCGGGCCTTTTATCATTATAAGGCATAGTGTGAAGACTCATACGAGAGCAAAGGCTTGACTTATTCGTACAATTGGCTGCAACGCAACTATTTACCTTTTTTCTGCTTTTACTAGTGCAAAGGCAATGCTTTTAGGCGCTTATAGACTTAAGTTGTGCCTCAGCCAGCATTGACTTGATAGCAATTGAATACACGACTCGTGTAACACGAGTACCTTGGATGACGTCAGAAAATTAGCTAGTTTCAGACTCCTCATTATCACGGACATGGTTCACAAGAATATACGATTTTAGTGATATTAACGCTTTTACAAAAATCAAACGATTTGACCAAATTCAAAATTTTTTCCTCAACAAGGCTTAAAATCATCGACAGATTTGATATTGCTAAAAATTTTTGGTGGAAGGACACTTTAAGACTCACAAGGTAAAATGCCTATTATTTTTACAGTAAAAGAATATAAAACGTACATAGAAGGACTAAACATTTTATCAGTCTGGCTACACCACTGAAAATTTTATTCTTTAAAATTCATAACCATTATCATTGTTTAGAAGGTATTATAATAAAAAATGAGCAGGTGTAATTTATTTGGACTAATACTTCATTCAAGACTTAGGACCTAAGGAAGACATAATGTAATTGGGACACAGTTATAGGAACATATAGTATAATTTTATAGAGAACATACAGTAGATTGCATTGAATATTTTGTGCCATGCATATCTTATTCCCAAATGATTACCATAGTGGCAGTCAGACACTACATTTTGACCAATAGGTGCACTGAGCTGGCAAACTACACCCAGTAATATAATTATATATACAGCAGTAAGTTGCACAGAAAGTGGTCCTACTGTATATTCTCTATACTGTGGTTGGGGTGACATAAACATTTGGATGTAATGATCCCTAGACAACAATGGTTTTCAAAGGAATCTAACACATGTAGCCTATATTATGCATACATAATATGATCTCCAGTCCTGCCACAGTTTTCTTGCTAAAAAGGGAGTGTGTCAAGAAGTCAACAAAAGTGATGAAAGCAATAAAATGGTCAACAAAACATTGTAATAAGAAAACCAATGAAAAATTGGTGGGCATAATTTTATGAGAGTTGACCAAAATTGTGTAAAAGATGTAAGAATCTGTACCTATGACCAAAACTATTTTTCATTGGTTAGATTATTATTCTAAAAAATAGGCAAACTACATGAAATAGCTAGCAATAAAAACATATCATATACATAAATTAATATGAGTCCCCACCAAACAATTATTGATCTTCCTGTACATAAATGAATCCAAGTAAATAGATAAATCTTGTAACAAAAATATATCTAGCGACCACACATTGTCCATAATCATTGATCAGTTATAAAAGATGAAGAACACATATAAAATATTGACTTTAGCATGTTATTTCAGTAGCAAATCAACACATATCAACAAACAAGTTTTATCATATCAAAGGTTCAAAATATGTTGATGTACGTAACTAAGTGATGAAAACCCTCTACAACGCTCATTTTAAGATTAAACGATGACAAAAATAACTTTTCAACATGAAAAAATCATGTTAAACACAGTGATTTAATGTTCTGCTTCACTTACATTCATTTCCTTCCTTAAACAGTTTTTGAAATCTAAATTGAATATCTTGTTTATGTTTGTTGTATTTTATGATTTGACAATAACCATGTTTAAATACTTATCACGAATAATAAAGCAATTTTCGTATAAGATTTAGAGTTGAACTGTAACTACAATGATCATTGTTCTTAGAAATATTTAAATGACAAACCATCTTTGTTCTACTTATAGATATGTAAATAAAATAAAATTAATTCGAGTCGCCATCTAAGGATGTAAAATATTATTCTTACCGTTATATTAGATGGAAGGAATATTCCTTGATATCATGATCATATATCGCCAGAAAAATATTTGTGGATGATAACATAAGAATTGCACGAGCACTTCCTAATTCATATTCAATATAAGGGATTGGCGACCACAGATTACTGAGTAATCGATACCGCTCGATACCAAACTTCTAGCGAAATACTCCATACCATATATGTCGATACCATAGTAGCATCGTATTATTTTCTATTACTCTACAAACATTGTAATGTATTAGCTAAAATTCAAAGGTAAATTTGTCTTTGTACGTTGTATATAACGAAATTTATAGACAATAAACTCAATGGGGACACAGCTCTGTCCCCCGTTTATCGTGTCCGCCGGGAAAGAGTTGACATTGATTTCTATTGTCTCGGAACTTGGAATCATCCCATAATGAATTTAATATGGCATTATAGAATGCTCAATGCGTATCCGCGTACCTGGTATTCCACAATTTAGCCAAACTAAAGAACTTTGATACAATAGTAGAGTGGCTAACAATATCGTTTCAAAATTAATGTGTTATACAATTTTACTCACCACATATGACCTAAACGTCTAATTCTTCATTTCAACACGTTGCATAACGTAGTCACCAATATGATTCAGAAAATTATTTTCAATAGAAGATGCCAAAAAGTATTCGTATCGATCATGAATGCATGACAAATTTCTTTTCTGAAATTCCGAGACTGAAGATTAGCAGATAGAGTGGGTACATGAGTGGGTACAAAGCACCGGTCGTCTTACCAGTTCTTCAATTCAAAATGTCTTTACGCAACTATGGAAACATTTTGCTTTTGCAAAAGAATGCACGAAAATTTGAGAAAGCTTGTAGATTGATTGCATGAAATTTCTTGAAAATTATGGTTAGACTTTACATGGTCTTCATATATGGCTGAAATCTCTTTTCTGTGTTGATTTTTGTAGATGAAGAAAACATGGCTTTGTAGTATTACCGTAATTGAAATATTATGGTAAATTATAGTCTTGTTTTTATAAAAGATCACAACTTTTTCTGAGCATGTTTTTCCTTTTATGTACAAAAGAAATTATCTATATTGTTGCCAGTGAGGTGCCAGGCGGGAAACAGATTCTCAATATAAATATTACAGCCCAACATATAATTTTGAACATAGCCATAAGCAATTTGGTTTCGTGAAATTTATTAAAATACTGACGTTTCGTCTTGACTCAAGACATCTTCAGACTAATAAGGAAGTTAACAACGAAATGTAGGTATATATATAGTAATTTACATAGTTAGAGGTATTAGATTACTGTTGATGTGTAAGTGTGATGTGATTTATAGTTAGGTTGAGGTGTTGAGACTAGAAAAGCTTAAGAGAAATGAAGCTGCCTTGGGTGTTAAGTGAAGATTTTAGGTTGGCGATGAAGAGGTTTTCGTGGATCATGTCCCAGAAAATATTTGAGATTGGCGCAGAAAAAAATTGGTTATAAGTGCTGAAAAAGTTATAGAATTCTTATAAGTAGGGTTATAAGTAAGGAAAAGAAACTAAATACACAAGCTTCAGTTTTGTAAATGCACAATGTCAGACAGACATCTCGAGCTACTCAGCAGTCTCGACAGCAGCCTGGAAAGTCAGAACTTAGTAAGATGAAGTCATCTTTGCAGTTCTTCTTAGTCATTCCTTCATCTATAGTATTTAACAGCAATGATATATCATTGCAGTAGCCAGGATTTTCTGTCAAGGGGGAGGAGATAAAAGGAAGGGAGCCACAACCATTGTTGTAATTAATTTTACTAAAATAATATATTTTAGTGGACCCAAGAATTTTGCCAAGGGGCCTGGCTCTCTGTCTCATATCATAAAGTGCTTCAAGATATTCAGATGGATGATCTTTACTATTATTTATACCACAGTTCATGTTTGGTTATCTTTCGCTTAACCTGAAAAAGAATTCCACGTGATTACGATGAAGTCACGTGATCTTACTCAAAGTCAATTTCACACCAAATCATAGTAAAGTCTGTGTAACCTGTGAACTATGTAGATCTGTACTCAACATGATGATATTGTAAGCAAGAACATTGGAAGCGTCGGCTCTAGCAAACACATGGTTACTATAATATAAATGATCAATATGAAATAAAAGTTTATCATGGACAGTCAAACCTAGCTATATCTAGACACTAGCAAACACATCGTCACTAAAATATAAATGATAAATATAAAATAAAAGCTTCTCATAGACAGTCTAACCTAGCTATATCTAGACACTAGCAAACACATCGTTACTTAAATATAAATGATAAATATAAAATAAAAGTTTATCATAGACAGTCAAACCTAGCTATATCTAGACACTAGCAAACACATCGTCACTAAAATATAAATGATAAATATAAAATAAAAGCTTCTCATAGACAGTCTAACCTAGCTATATCTAGACACTAGCAAACACATCGTCACTAAAATATAAATGATAAATATAAAATAAAAGTTTATCATAGACAGTCCAACCTAGCTATATCTAGACACTAGCAAACACATCGTTACTTAAATATAAATGATAAATATAAAATAAAAGTTTATCATAGACAGTCTAACCTAGCTATATCTAGACACTAGCAAACACATCGTCACTAAAATATAAATGATAAATATAAAATAAAAGTTTATCATAGACAGTCCAACCTAGCTATATCTAGACACTAGCAAACACATCGTTACTTAAATATAAATGATAAATACAAAATAAAAGTTTATCATAGACAGTCAAACCTAGCTATATCTAGACACTAGCAAACACATCGTTACTAAAATATATATAAATATAAAATAAAAGTTTATAATATATGGAACGAATCTTATTCCTTACTTCATCTTGTTAAGCAAATTTCGTAATATTCGTTGAGAACTTTTGGTATGGAACCTCTCGATAAATCCTGATTTTTGACTTCACTGGTAAGAAGCGATGCAAGCAACATAAGTTCGTCAGCTTTTGTGTCCAAGTATTTATAAAATCAGGAAAGCTGTCAATAGAACCAATCAATACATTAATATCCTTCAAAGTGCGATCATCGCTACAATTAATGTACAGTGGATTTAATTTTTTGAACTTATTCAAAGCAACTTCGTTAGGTCTTGTTGTAATTACAAAACGAAAACAAGACGGAACCACATTCATGAAGAGCATCAAGCACAACTAACATTTGCTTGGGAAGTTCTGAGAAATTATAAAACAACTCAGTAAAAAGATGGGAAAATAATCCTTCAACATTCATGTTATTCAAAGGCTCAGAGTGTTGACCTGAAAGTTTCTTCACAAGAAGTTGTTTGTAAGCAGGAAAATGACGACTAACTTGCATCGCTAAAAATTGAAGAAGTACATTTGCTTTATTGTAACGACTGTTGTTGTGTTGAACTGCAGCGAAATAACTTGGATAACGTTTACATAAAGTAGCTGCAATGATAGACTTACCCATACCAGCAACAGCAAAAATAATAAATGCACGATTTTGAGAACTGTCTTCTTCGAACCAATTTAAAACTCATCAAAAACCCATTCCCGTGTTCCATGGAAGTATTTTTGGTAGTGTTGACTAATTTCACTTTCAAAGTTACAACTTACAAGGTTTTTAGTCAAGATACCGTGTTCGGGAATTGAATTAAGTCCATGTTCACGAGCTTTGATTTCTTTGATATCGTCTCCTACTAATTCTAAATTATCACTATCACACCGACATCCTTTACGGCATTCGTAATTTGTGATTTTAAAACTTTTAAATCACTCTTTGATCTACCCCATTCTCTCAAAATTCTTTCTCATTCTTCATTACCAAACAACTCATTTTTTAATCTATCTATTTCTTCCTGACCTATTCCTAAACGAAGTAATGGTTCTCTTATTTCCAGCCAATGATTCTCAAATTCATCAAAGCTTACTGAAATGTTAGGTAAGTGAGCAAAATGATCATTACAAAATAACCTGATACGGGTTATATCTGCTTCAGTTGAATAATCAGTGACATTGGGTATGTTTTCCCATATTGGATCATGAGGTGGTTTTAAACCACAAATATTACGGAGGAGAAAACAAAGTAATGTAATGTCAAACTTATTTTCATTTGATAATATTGGAGGAGGAGGATACAGTAGATCCCATTGATGTTGCTTTATTTGCTTATCATTTAGCAACAAAAGTTTATCATAATTTTTATTGTTATTTAAATTATAAAATAAATCAGTACCTGACAGTTGTTTCCTCAATGTTATTCTTAAAGCTTCTCCACCAACATCAACAATTAATCTCATCAACTTAAAACCATTAGTTTTCTTTTTAGAGCTCAAGACAGACTCCATGTCAATGTTTGCTGAAAAAAGGTAGTTCAAACTTTTATGGTACATAATTTGTCACGTTTATAATGAAAAACCTGATGTACAACAAAAAAGATAGTTCAAACTTTTATGGTACATAATTTGTCAAGTTTATAATGAAAAACCTGATGTACAACATATATAAAAAATATAGTTAAGACTCAAACATAAAATGTAGGGATGAATAACAGTATTCTTTATAAATCTATTATTTTCAGAGTAAAAGAATATAAAATATACAAAGCAGGACTAAATATCACACCGGTCTGGTTATGCCACTGTTAATTTTATTCCTTAGAAAGTCAAATTCCTAACCAAGAGCCAGATTTTAATAAAAAATGGTCGGCTATAATTTATTTGGTCTAACGCTCGATTTGCTACTTAGTACCTAAGAAGGAAAAATATAATTGGGGTGAGGTGCTCATATTCATTTGCATGTGATAATCCACACACAACAATGGTTTTCAAAGGATCTCAACACATGCAACATATATCATATTGTGTACACCTAAAACTGAAACTATTTGTTATTGGTTTGATTACTGTTTCATGGGAAACTACACAAAAACTACATGAAATAACTAGCATTTGAAGAATAAAAATCCAAGCATAGTCGTAGGAAGATGGATAATTGGTGGGGTGTACAATGTATTTGAAAAAAAACTTAATACAACTGAACACACGATATACATAAATTAATATGAGCCCCAATTAATATGAATTAATTTGAGGTGGTTTGGGCATGTGGAAAGGAGGGAAGAAAGTGCTGAAATTCGTAGAACGTTGCATATGAATGTTGATGGAGTCCGCAAACGAGGTAGACCGAGAAAGAGATGGATGGATGCTGTGAACAGTGATATGAAGGCAATGGGTATAACGAGAGATATGGCGAGAGATAGAGACGTTTGGCGTGGAAAAATTCATGGACCGGTCAGCCCCCCTGGCGGGGATTAATACTGGCCGGTATACAAATGTTGTTTGTTTGTTTGTTTGTAATATGAGCCCCAACCCAACAATTATTGATCTTCCTGTACATGAATGTAAGTAAATAGATAAATCTTGTAACAAAAATTATATTTAGCGACCACATATTGTCCACAATCATTGATCAGTTACAAAAAGATGGAGAAAACATATAAAATATTGACTTTAGAATGTTGTTTCAGTAGCAAATCAACACATATTAACAAACAAGTTTCATATCATCAAACATTGAAAATTATATGTACAAAACTAAGTTATGCAAAATTCTTGATAACGATAATTTTAAGGTCAAACGATGACAAAAACAACTTTCGAAGAAGAACAAATCTTTTTAACACAGTGATTTAATGTTCCGCTTCACTTATATTCATTTCGTATGCAATGTTTGAAATCTAACTTGAATATCTTGTTTATGTTTGTTGTATTTTATGGTTGTACAATAACCATGTTTAAATGCTTATCACGAATAACAATTTTCAAACTAGTTATAGGGTCGAATCATACCGCCAATCGACAATAGTCAATGTTCTTAGTAAATTTCGGATGAAAAACTGTCTTTATTCTACTTAGATAGGATGCGTAAATTAAATTTGATTCGAGTCGTCATTTAAGGATAATAAATCCAAGTAAATAGATAAATATTATAAAAAAATTATATTTAGCTACCACACATTGTCTATGATCATTGATATGTTATAAAAGATGAAGAACACATATAAAATATTGACTTTAGTATGTTATTTCAGTTGCAAATCAACAGATATAAATCAATTCGAGTCGCCTGTAAGGGATAAAAAATCTTTATCTTACCGTTTCATTAGATGGAAGGAATAATTCTTGATATCATGATCATAAATCGCCAGAAAAACATTTTCAACCTTTAACGTTTACGTGGATGATAACATAATGAATTTTAAATAATGCTCACTGCAGGCTGCGGCACAAATTTAACTCCACACAAGACTAACAAGACGAACGACTCGTGTGACTCATGTATGCTAAGGTCCGTTTACATGATCCGATTTGTCGGATCCGATTTCGTCGGATTAAGAAAAACGGATCGTGTGAACATACATAAAGTGAGCGAGCTTCCGAAAGTCGGATCCGTCAGTCTGAAAAAACGGATGGAAATAGAACTTGCTCTGTTATCTTATGCAAATTTTTCCCTCCCTTCACAACCGCTAAAGGGGACCTTCCAAACACGTTAAGCATTTCATAGGGGTTATTCCTTTTTTTGTAAGTAAAGCTATGTCGACACTGCCATTTTAGGGGGGGTCTCGATTTCAAAAGTTTCGTCCAGCTCGTACATATGCCATATTGCTCGTCATTTTACCTAAACAAAATTGAGATTACTTCCGGTAAATGAAGTGACACAGACTTTAATACAGGTACTTCACTATTAAAGAAAACGCCAAGTTTACATTGAAAAACTACATTATGATATCACTTGGAGCTTCTAAATTATAGCATAAATATAAGTAAAATGTAAAGATAATTGATCTGTTGTATAGACGCATAGTTAAAAAAACAGCTTGTGCAAGAGCTTTGTCAATTTTTTGTAATTGATAAAGCGAGAAGTGCAATTGAGCAGTTTAAAGAGGGGCTAAAAGGAAGTTATTACTTTATTAAAAAGAAATCCACTTCTTTTCCGCCCATACTTCTGCAATCGTAGTAAGCCGCTGACTGCAGTAAACGTTGACAGAATATTTACGCCAGATTTTTCATAAAATGGTTGTCGAAGACGTGATAGAGAGGAGCTTGTTATAATGCATTGGCGCCACTATCTACAAGAGTGCGAAGGTACTGTACAAAATGTTTCGTCTAAATTTTTTCAATCTAAAAAAGATCTTTATCAAACGAACTACTTGTATCTCTAATAAGCGTCTCGTCTATAATAGACGCTTTGCAAAAATATAATAGTGGATTGATGGTGCTCAGAAGTCAGAAACGTGCATTTAGTTTAACCTTTTTGCTTTGCTAACGTTAAAGTGATAGAAATGATATAAACGCCTCTACGTACGACCGTTAGGGTATATTTAATGCCCCAGGCGTTTATTACACAATGAACAGTATTATTTTGCTATCAAACGTAACTCTTGAAATATAGCATTATGTATAAATTCTTTTTGACGTACAACACATTTCAAAAGTATCACTTTTTACCATTAAAATTGCTGGCTTTTATTTTTCTCTAGCAAACAACGTTGTTACTGTTTCAGAGGCCCTCGTATCTTTGACGATGCTTATGATTTTTGCAACTGGGATGGAGGAAGAGGCTCCTTTAGGATTTTGTGACAGACCGACTATTTGCTTGTGGGAAGATGTTCGGCCCAAAAGCAACATATGCGCCAACGTATCGTATTTCCCACTCCACAATGACAAAGATAATCTTAGCTATAAAGAGTTTCAAGAAACGATGAACGATGGGATTTTGAGCTTCCCAACATTGCTGTTCCATAGTTTTTGGCTGGGGAATGACGCTTTAAACCTTTATTTAGTTTACATACATATTTTACTCACATTTGCATTATCATCATCTTCCTCAGATCCACGACAAAATATTTCACACGCTCCACAAGCTTCTTAGGCTGCTCGTTACATGTCGGATCTAATGTCTGTTAGGTTTTGTGATGTAGCCATCTACCTTGTTTAGTATATATTGACTTACACCAACAAATAGAGATATTACAGATAACTGTTGTGATCACATTTAATGTTCAACGTCAATGTCTATGGTCTACGATCTATCGTACAATGGTTAAACTACATGTATTTATACAAGATATTACGTATGGATATATTTGTTTCTTTACTAAATATGGTTAATTTACAATCAACGGAAAGCTATTAGGAACTATAAAAAATATTGTGATTATTGCACATAATTATCTCTAAAAATAATCATTTAGTTAGTAACACTTGACTTAATTATTTACTAATTACAGGAAGAATATGAGAGCATATGTTAACAATGTCAACTGATTTAATCTCATAATTCTGTACACTTGACTTGACAACTTCAAAAAGCAAAGTTCTTGCCCAATAGAAACAACATTGTATTTCACAACGCCATAGAGAATGATCCTCAAGCAACTTTAAACTTTAACTTTAACATTTATGGTTAATGATTTAACTTGCTTTACGTTTGAATCCATATCTTGTGCTGTTAGCTCATCATCTCAGAGTCAATCGTGTCTAGAAATGTTAAAGTTTGCAACTCCACAAAAAATCAAACATCGCTGGTCACTCTTTCTCAGATATCATAACAAACCACAACACAGTTAGAATAAAACACAAGGAAGCAAAGCTATCACGAAAACAGCATGCAAAAATATGAATTTTAAGCTAGAAGTTGCTATCGCAAGAGGGGAGTGCTGCCCCGACCCCTTGTCTGGAAAAAATTGCAGTGTTCAGAACGTAGTGACAGCCATTGGAACCACCTCCGTGTACAGCATTCTAGGTGGTTTAATACATACGTTATGATTGGGTGAATAGTATGATAGACAAAGAAATTTTACATGCGTGTCTCTTTAACTTTTAGCTTTGCGTTGGTAAGGTTTATTTCGCCATGTTTAGAGTTTTCTTTCTATCTAAAGGCTGGTTTACACGTTCCGATTTGTCTGATCCTATTGTTTCGGTTCCGTCTTTTGATTGCTTGTTCAGACGGTCAGATAGTTTTGTTGACATTTAGATACGTTTAGATATTTATAATCTTAAGACCAGCCATTTGTGTTGTCTATTTATCGATATATTTGCGTACTTTTCTTCTTGTTTCCAAGTCTTTTTCAAATATATATAATTTGGCTAGTCAGCTTCTTCTGATCTTGTCGGTCAGATGAGAATAGAACAAGTTCTATTTCTATCCTCTTTTTTAGATCAACGGATCCCACTGTCTGAGACTAACTTTATATGCGCACACACGATTCGTTTTTAGGATCCAACAATATCGGATCCGACAAAATCGGATCGAATGAACGGGCCTTAATCAAACGTGCCATACCTTATTTGGAATACATTCAAACAAAGACACGCGTTCTGAAAGTCGACGGTTGATTTCCGGCAAAAAATAGCTCCCGTGCTTTACATCTTATTTCATTTCACTTTTTAAATAATTTTAAAGATAAAATTCATTACCATTTCGAACGAAAACAATTTTTTGATTCTTTTAAATGTCTTGTTTGTTTTGATAAAATATGTGAACCGAGCAGGCTAAATACGGCAAAACCTCACTCTTTTGACGCAAACACTAATGGGAACTTTTTTATTGTTTATGCCTTCACGTTTTGTGTTTTGTATTATAACTAGTTTTGATACAAGCAATTGTCTGCACAAATATCGTCAAATTATTCCTTCGGGAAAACGTCTTCCATCGTATAATCGCTAACAGCCTCAGTTCCTAACTGAAGATCATAAGCAGGAAATGGAAATAGGGGAGATATTTGCCGGCAAAACTCTCATTGCAAATTTAAGACACATTCAATTTTTAACATTTCAATCAGACTTAATGTTAAGTGTGTGTATCAATTGCTAACTGCTAACAGCTTACCCATAATAAATGAAGCAAAACTTTAAACCAAGACGCTTCTCCTTGACACCCAAACATTTAAGGAAGAAAATCAAATAGAAACTAGTGAATCGTGCTATAGTCGAGAACCTATATAAGAGTTTGGATGCACTTCATTTACCGGAAATAATCTCAACTGTTTTTGAGTAAAATGGCCATGACGAAAAACATGGCAAATGTGCCATTTCCTCAAACCGGTACGAAACTCCTAAAATCAAGACTAACAATAAAATTACACAATAAAAAGAAATCACATGGTGTTCGGAGTGCTTACAAAAAAATGTAAATGTTACTTTTCCTTCAAGATTGTAGTATTTTTTGTAATGTCTTTTAATTTCAATCTAAGTAACATCAACACTTTTAAGTTCTATTTACGTTCTTTTGTTGTTTTCTCACTAGCTTTCATCCCTTAATATAGCTCCTGTCAACATATCCGATTCTTATTCATCATAATTACATATTAAACTATTAAGCCATTAGTATTAAAGTATCTGTTTACTACATTTTTAATGCTAGAAAATTGATAAGATACTACGTGTAAAATGTGTAATTGTAGCTGATGATCTCACCTTGTGGATCATTCTTTACGTACATATATACAGTATACGGGGTGTTCCCAAAAGTTACAAAAACAGGATGTATAAAAAAAGACCTTTATAAAAGTCAACCTATTGTGAAATTTCAATGTCTGATCACCATGTCTCACTGATGCATTTTTCTAAACTAATTTTTATGAGAGTAATGATGTGCATGAATTAAGTCGTTTGATTTATATTTTGAATTCTGCACATCATTCAAATTGGAAAATCAACCTTCAAATTATGCCTATTTATAAACCATTGAAGGTAAAAATCGTTTTGTTAATCAATCGGCATTTTTGGACACAAAATGCTGTATTTTAGTTAAATATTGTTTATTAATCTTACTCTATGGAATTTCTGTCTGAAGTGATAAAAATTCACTATACTTCAGATATATCTTTATACATTTGACTTTATCTGTAAATGATTAAGTACAAAATGCGATCGTCTTTTGTAATTAGTACATAATACTTTAACTCTCTTTTTTCATGCAATAAAATGTAGAAGTAAATTATTTTGATGGAACCAAAAGCTAATCGTAATCTTTAAAGTAAAGATGATTATACAACACAATGAAAGAGACAGCCAAAGCGGGTTGTGATCTATTGAAGGTATATGTATGAGATATAATGTGAAAGATCAAAACAAACTCTTTTAAAATTTCCCCCTATTCTTAGCAGCAATAAATTGCATTGTTATATCGGGGCTGTGTATGTTAAATGTAATTGGTTCATTCGCAGTCACATGACTTGAAATAATTGCAAGATTTCCTGCAAGGGAAACATATAACAAATTGTTGCCCGCTCATTTTAATATCATAACGAATAAAACAGCCACCAAGCCGAAAACTAAATAACGTTTCTCGAGCTTATTAAGCAGCAAAAATCAACTATTAATAGCAAAATAGGATTCAGAAAACACTCCGAAGTCGATTTAATATTCTGTGGTTACCCTTAGGATTTTGCAAAGAAATGTCGCCGGGAATTTCCCCATAAAGATGTTGACTTTATTGAAGAGCTGTCGAAATCTATGATATTTTTTCCTTTAGCTACAACAAAACATTTTATGTACTCTCCCTCGGGTAATAATGAGCCTAATTTCCCCAGAGTCTCAATATAGGTTTGGTGTAGTGAACAAATATGAAAATTATTGAAGACACGATATAAATCAACGCACATATATTGTAACACGTCTGCAGAAAATATATTTGTACGATTATTTCCTCCAATAACATACACACTAATAGTATATAAAACTATGTTACTACGCCTTAAAAAGAGTTCAACAAAACACCACGAAAAAAAAAGAAAGTTTCCCCTAAATAATTTATTATAAGTGCTAAATGAATGAATCCCAGCAAGACTCTAAAATGCCAACTGCAAATAATCTGTTTTGATACAATGTGGGTATTTTTTAACTTGCTTTTCAAGACGACAGTTACCAAAAAATTTTACTAAATGTTGAGTGAAAGTTATTACGACTATTCAATGCTGTTTTTCAAAATTGGTATTTTTGAATTCAAGATACGACAACTCCTTTTTTAAAGCACGAGTGATGTCATTCTTTCCATGGCATTTGGCAAATTACTTTTAGTCCAAAAATTGGTGTTGAGTTATCTAGGATTTATTTATTTAAAATTGAAAATCAAGAAACGTAAATCGAAAATCAAGAAACGCAAATATAATGAATAAAAACGAAAAGTTTTTATACAGTTTAGCTACTCGTAAAACGACATCCTTGAGACCACGACCTAATGTCTGCTTACGGTAGATGTCCGTTTATGAGTTGTTATAAAAGATATCTATTCAAAATACGTAGTTATGTGCACAACAATAAGAAATAAAATTGAATGATTTAAAATTGTTCACTACATAAAAAATACAACACAGTGGATCTAGAAATATCACATCTTGAAAGAGAAAGACGATAAAATTTTCCAAACTTCTCCTTCTCGTAACTTGATGTAGTTCTTTAAAGTTAAAGTCATTTTTGTTGTAAATGATTTATTGACCATTCATATGAACTAAACTGATCACTTTTATTCTACAACCATCCATAGTTGACTTTTGCTTTGAATTTTCATGACATGTTGCTGTCAAGATCTTAATTCATATCACAAATGTTATAGTATCATTCAAGTAAATATATATTACAGAGCATGCGCAAAAGCAATCGAATGTTATGGTATTCACAATGACAGTGTGCATCAAGAAGCAGCTTCAATTATAGACGCAGCAAAGAAATCCCTTTAGCCATCTCCAATAGCCACAATGTAGTAAAATCGAATTCTTTTTATTCACTCTCATGATTACTTATGCGTTATGTTCACATCAAAACGTCCACATGAGATGATAATTTTCACGCTTAAGTTTTATAAAAAGTGAACAAAGTGAACAGTTAAAAATGTAAAAGTTCATATCTTCCACTATTAACAACAGATGACATTTCAATGAACACGTGACCTGGTGACGTTACAATGTACAACAATAAATCCACAGAGAACCATTGTACATAAATTTTTCATATCTTTCATTACGTCACTTCCTGAAATAAAGCTTCTCTTTCTTGTATTATCGTTTGAATATAGAGTACACGATGGAATTTTATAGACAAGCGATAAACATATCAAACTTTGCTAAAGTAACTTGCAATATGTCCACTGATGCTTGACTTGATGCTGTTAAAAAACAATTTCCATAAAGTATTGATTTTTAAAGTAAAACTGTTTAAACGTTATGAATCTCTGACATCGATTTTTCGAAAAGTTAAAAACTTGTCATTAAACATCATTCCATATGCAACATTGTCGTTTGTTTTCCGTCTCTCTACACTGCAAAACTTTCTTTGACTTTTGTTAACTTTTCCTGTTTATACCGTTTGGAGTGTTCAATCACAATGGTCAAATTTTTTATCACGATAATTAGCGTCCATCATGAAGTCATTTTCTTGTGAAGTTTACGATTTACTTTTTAACAGTCAGTTAGAAAGACAGCCAAATTTTTAGTTTTTCTTGAAAAAATTAGCAAAGGTACCATTGTTGTATTATAAATTTACGTTTTTCAAATTGATAAAGATGAAAATATTCATATAACAGAAGTAACAATTGGGCTGTTTTTTTCTCTCTTAACAACTTAAGAAATAGATATTTTGTATATCAAAATGCAATAATTAAAAAGTATTAAGAAATTATTTCAGTGCAAGATAGTATTGATTTAATTAGTAACAACATGTTTTTGGTGTAAAAGAGTACCGAAAAACGTGCAATATTAAAACCATCCTACACTGAAACATTTGCATGAAAATTATATGTTTACATGGTGTAGATATAAACAAAATATAACCAATGGTACAATAACTAAGAATACTTTGCATTTTATATGTTTGTGTGATAAGATGAAAGTGAATAAAATTATTTTCTTGTGCAAGGAAAATTATTATCTTAGACACGAAATCATTTGTGTTTATGCTTTGTCTTTATTGTCCTTGAATATTCATCTTTAATTGATTAACTTCAGCTTTTATACATGATCTCTCTCAATGTTGACATTATCGTACACTGCGGTCTCTGTACAGAAGAATCAAACTTAGACAAAGGTCGTTTCATGAAATCATACGCAAACAGACATTAATTGAAATGTCAACAATGATAGGAATCATGAAAAAACCGAACAAGATTTTCTTAAAGATAATATAGTCATTATCCAAAATGGTGAGAAATTTTATCATCAAAGACCAAATTTATTTTCGTGGCCAGATGATTTTTAAGCATTCTAGGGGGACCTTCGAGGAAGAAAAAGTTAAAGCAAGTTTGCGTTTACGACAGTAATAAAAAGTATTTCGTTCTATACTCAATTGCCGGAGAAATGAATCTACAATTTTAAAATATTTCAAATCAATCAAATGTAAGAAAATTAAGCTACGACTAATTATATACCTATCATCAACAAAGAAAAATTTTGACACCATAAAAACCTCAGTACAACTATAAATAATTTGTATGTTTTTAACATCAAATACTTTCACATACCTGCGCATCTCACCTATTAATAATTTATCTGCTAAAGGCGCAAAAGCAGCGTAATTTATAGAGGGAGTATTATCACGCATGTACTCTCCATCGTCTTTGTCGGCGATCAAATTGGTTATTTCCTCCTTAATTACGTCATCCCAACCATTAACAAGTTTGTCTTCATGCCACATACAGCAAATTATCTGATCCTTCAATTCAACTTCAGCGAACACGTGATACTTAGAGCTACATGCAAACACGTGCACATTTCGATAATTATTAAAATTCACTGATATTTCTTTTCGCTTGTTTTTAACATTGAAAAACACAAAAGAATCAGTTTTTTGACAGGAAAATGATACATCACTCACCTCAAAAATTTTGTTTGTACCTTTTAGTTCATCAAAACTATAAACAAGTTTTGTCAAATCATCATTCCAAAGCTCAGGAACATTTTTTGCCGTTAGAAGAATAACCCCATTTTCTACAGCAACCATGTCTCTAACAAAACATTCCTTGACAACAAAGTCAAATGTGTTGAGATTGTATATAATTACCCTTGAATTTTCTTCATTGCTCCGATACAGATATTTTCCATTTGAGCAAAATTTTTGGATACTTAAACTGTAAGTCATAGTTAAACATACACGCGGTATTGAATAAAGATAAAATACAAGTCCGTAATTAAAGAAAAGTACATTGTCGTTATTCAAAATAAAATAATACATAAATAACTCATGAAAGGGAAAGCTTGATCTGTTGTCATCGAAAGGATCGAGAGGAAAAAACGAAGTTTCGAAATCAGGATCTACATCAGGAAGTTTCTCACGAGTGGGATTTACAATGAAAGGTTTTATCCGAAAAAGAGGATCCCAACAACAACACCAAGAATGAAGACCAACAGTGAACAACTTACTTGAAAAACTAGGCGGTAAATGATCGTCGTAAACGAATGTTTCATAATTATTCGCTACATCAAGTATTTGAACCTCTTTTCTTTCCTCAATAACACACAAATATCTTCCAGAATTAGAAAAACACAGTGAGGTCACATTATTACATCTAATACTGCGGTTCTTCTCACCTTTCTCAACGTCCCATACTGTCAAAGTATCTTTGTAACTAGTGACCATTATGTACTTATCCTTAGAAAAACATTTGTTGGTAAAGAACTCAGAAGTAGAATCATCACAATGGAACGGACTGGAGGAAATTATACCATTAATATCTAATATGTTATTAAGCTGGGAAGCAAAAATCAAATCTTCGAATGGGTGAAAGACAACGCTAAATTTTCCCTCTTCATATTCCTTAAACTGACCAGCAATATTTTTTATCCATAAACATCGGCTTGTTATCAATGAAAAAAGTTGCACGACGAATCCATAATAACCACAGACGACGTAATCATGATTTCGTGAAACATCAACAGAAATCAAATTTTGATTTAAACGTAACAATCGAGCCTTTACAAAACCCGTGTCTCTGTACTCTAGATATGGTAAATCTTTGAAACGTGTTTGAAGCATTGTGGTCGCTTGAGACGACAGATCTTTGACGTCGTTGGCAACGTTTTGCAAAAAAATTGCTTTATTGCCAATAGGCTTAGAGTACGTCATTACAGAATAAACTTCATTAAATAACAATCGAATGTCCTCAGAAATAAGAAAGTACACATCATGTGCGATGAATAATTTAAAATTTTCAAAAGTACGACCAGTGTCAACCAACATAGAAGCAACTAAAACTTCCAAGTCAACAAGATATTTACCAACATTTTCAACGATATAATCATTATCAGAAATATCAAGTAAATGAAGCAACCAATACTTGACTGAATACTTCACTGACGCACGTTTAATGACGTCATAGTTTACACCTTCAGCTTTGAGGTTATCCAAAGATTTTAAACAAAATTCTAAAACAAGTCGATGACCACAAGAAGTTTTTACTGAGTAATTATGTTTTCGATCATCCAACAACCAATCATTTAAGGATTTGTGAAAAAACGAAACACATCCTTCCTCATTGGTAACAAACAAACAAGAGATAATTTTTCTAACACTAAATGATATGCGATTCGAATTCAAACAAAGAACGTCATCGATAATTTTCCAAGGAAGAGGTTCTTTAGCAACAGCCAAAGAATTTAAAATTGACTGAAACTTTTCGTTACTGATTTTAAACGAATCTAATTCCTTACTTAATCGTGTTAAGCAAATTTCGTAATATTCATTGAGATCTTTTGGTATGGAGCCTTTCAACAAATACTGATTTTTGACTTCATTGGTAAGAAGCGATGCAAGCAACATAAGTCCGTCAGCCTTTTCTGCCAAACTGTTTTTAACATCAGAAAGGCTGTCAGTAGAGCCAATTCTTTCTTCAATCAAAAATTCAATATCGTCTAAATTGCGTTTATCGCTGCAGTTAATGAACAGAGGATTTAATTTTTCGAACTTATTTAAAGAAATTTCGTTAGGTCTCGTGGTAATTACAAAGCGAAAACAATGCGGAAGTTTGTGCAAGTGATTAGCAATCAAGTTAGCAAGGTCATCTCTTTCTGGATAACCACATTCATCAAGAGCATCCAGCACAACTAACATTCGCTTGGGAAGTTCTGAGATATTAGAAAACAACTCAGTAAAAAGAAGGGAAAATAATCCTTCAACATTCATGCTATTCAAAGGCTCAGAGAGTTGACCTGAAAGTTTTTTCACAAGAAGTTGTTTGTAAGCAGGAAAATTACGACTAATTTGCATCGCTAAAGATTGAAGAAGTACATTGGCTTTACTGTAACGACTGTTGTTGTGTTGAAAGAAATGAACTGAAGTCAAATATTGAGGATAGCGTTTACATAAAGTAGCTGCAATTACAGACTTACCCATACCAGCAACAGCAGAAATAACAAATGCACGATTTTGAAAAGTATCGTCTTCAAACCAATCTAAAAACTCTTTAAAAACCCATTCACGTGTTCCATTTAAGTATTTTTCATAATGATGCTTAATTTCACTTTCAAAGTTACAGCTAACAAGGTTTTTTGTCAAAACATCTTCTTCTGAAACAGAAGTAACTCCATGTCCACAAGCTTTGATTCTATTAATATCATCTCCTACCAATGCTAAGGTATTCATAATTTCTTTGTGATCGGATTTTAGAACTTCTAAATCACTCTTTAATTTATCCCATTCTCTTAAAATTCTTTCACATTCTTCATTACCAAACAACTCATTTTTCAATCTATCTATTTCTTTCTGACTTATTCCTAAACGAACTAATGGTTCCCTTATTTCCACCCAAAATTTTTCAAAGTCATCAAAGCTTACTGAAGTGTTAGGTAAGTGAGCAAAACGACCATTACGAAATAACCTGATACGGGTAATATCAGCTTCAATTGAATAATCAGTGACATTAGGCATGTTTTCCCATATTGGATCACGAGGTGGTTTTAAACCACAAATATTACGTAGGAGAATACAAAGTAAAGTAATGTCTAACTTATTTTCATTTGGTAATATTGGAGGATCTGGATACAGTTGATCCCACTGATGTGGACGGATTTGTCTATTCTTTAAACTTGAAAGTAGTTGTGCATTTTCGGGATCATTTAAAACATTAAATAAATCAGTACCTGACAGTTGTTTCCTCAATGTTATTCTTAAAGCTTCTCCACCAACATCAACAATTAATCTCATCAACTTAAAACCATTAGTTTTCTTTTTAGAGCCCAAGACAGTCTCCATGTTAATGTTTGCTGAAAAAAAGTAGGTAAAACTTCCATGGTATAAATTCATTGTGATTATAAAAGAAAATCTGCGGCCGGTTGCATGAAGGCAGAATGGTTTTAATCATTAGATGGCAGCTTGTTTTGAACTTTTGTAAAATCTCTTAAAAGAGAATAATATGTGATTTGAACTGAAGAATCATTGAAATAAAATATTGCTTCTAAGATTACAGAATTTGTTTCCCCTCGAAAATATGAACGCCTTTTTCTACAAGTTTGAAAATTGTACTATCCGACGAATAATGCTATCCAGGCTTCGTGAAGCCGTCTATGATTTTAGGCCTTTCTAAAAAATACATTTCCAAAATTTGGTCAAATCAACAAGCTTTATGGCATCTTGAAGTTGTGTATTTTTGTCCCAACGCCGTAGATTTCTATAATACAAAAGGAGCTGGCACTAGAAGGTATTTTGACGTCATCCAATATAGTCAGCATTCGGGCATATTTAGCTTATATTAAACATATACGTTTTTTCACGATGTTTAATTATAATATTTGAGAAAATTATGTCTTGCGAAGGAAGCGGTGAATCAAAATCAGAATTGAGTGTTCAGTCTGATAATTCAGACAAAAACTTTATTCCGGGTACGTGACAGAAAAGTCGGAAAGCAATGAAACTTGCGCGATAATAATTCGGATTTTGACTCCAAAGCAAGGATGGTCGGAAAGACACAAATTCTAATCTCATCTTTTTTAAGGCCTGAAAATTTAGCATTCTTTTGATTCGGCAAACTGCGAAACTGACGCTCCAAATCCTCTGGTTTTAATCTAGCCAAACAAAGTGTTGAAGCACTAGAAGGCACAAATACGCGCTTTGCTTTTAAGTGCAGATACTCCGTTTTCGCTTGGCCTCGTGCCTTTTATCATTATAAGGCATAGTGTGAAGACTCATACGAGAGCAAAGGCTTGACTCATTCGTACAATTGGCTGCAACGCAACTATTTACCTTTCTTCTGCTTTTACTAGTGCAAAGGCAATGCTTTTAGACGCTTATAGACTTATTTTGTGCCTCAGCCAGCATTGACTTTATGGCAATTGAATACACGACTCGTGTAACACAAGTACCTTGGATGACGTCAGAAAATTAGCTAGTTTCAGACTCCTCATTATCATGGACATGGTTCACAAGAATATACGATTTTAGTGAATTTAACGCTTTTAAAAAATCAAACGATTTGACCAAATTCAAAATTTTTCCCTCAACGAGGCTTAAAATCATCGACAGATCTGATATAGCTAAAAAAAAAATTTTGGTGGAAGGGACACTTTAAGACTCACAAGATAAAATGCCTATTAGAAAACTGACTAGTCAAATTACATAGATTTGAGAAAGACAAGTAGACAAGGTGAAAATAAGAAAAACATATCGATAAATGTTCTGGATAACACAAATAAAAATATCTCAATGAACATAAACATCAACAAAATTATCCGACCGTTTGAGCAAGTAACCAAATTAAAGTCGGAACCGAAACAATCAGATAGGACAAATAGGATCGTGTGAACGGGCATAAGTGCATAACAAATGCAAGTCATGAATTTTCAGCGCTAAGAATATATTTTAGTGTTAACAGCAG